GTGAAAAAAACAGCATAACTAGTAAAATGGTGGCCCGATCATGCCGATTTTCGAACTTGACCTGCGTTTTTGTAAGACTGATTTCTCCTGTGAGTTTCATGACAACAGGCCTATCAGTTTTCCTTGAAATGTGTTAACAGTGTTGCATATATGCTAAAAAGTGAAAAAACAGCATAAATTCTACAATAATGGCCCGATCATGCTGATTTTCGAACTTGACCTGCGTTTTATGAATATTAGTCAGCTCTGTAAATATAAAGCCAAAAAGTAAAACTGTCTTCCACTTATGGTGGTAACGCTGAAAGTGCACGGCGACGGCGACGGCGACATGATCGGCGACGGCGACGGCGACGACAGACGCAGGTGATGGCAATATGTACAGACACATCTGTGTCTGTACATAATAAAAATGAAACTACATAAAATACAAAATGCTTGTGCAAACATTTAGCATACAAATCATGTACAGAATGGAGATATGCCACCTTTTGTGCTTGGCTCTTTTTTATCACACGGTGTCTTTGAGTGAAAAGAGATGAAAGAGGAATCACCACTCCCATTACCATGGAGCCAGCATTATCCGTTAATTCTTTATATCTGGAGGTTAAATATAGACTTGTCTCCCTACACTGTAAACCCTCTCTTAAACTTGACCGAATAATTTACCTCTAACCCTTTACAGCCTACTGCGTACCCAGTATCTAAATTTTTCACCTTTAGTATTGTCCTTTAGTAGATATGATAGTTGTTTTATTCTGGTGTACAGACTAGAGAGAATATATGTTCCAAATTAAAGGGATAATAACTCTTCGTATGAGATCTATATTTCACAATAAAAACATTGTGAAGAACTCATAGAAATATATTATATTTTGTTTTACCACAAAAACGTCAGTTATAGCTGTCATTCTGATGTCTGAGCTTGTCTTTAGACCACGTGACCTCCATTGATGGCTATACTCTGTTATAATCTCTTAAGAGATTATAACAAAAAAACTTTTTAGAAAAAAAACCAGGGACTAACTTTGAATGTAAAAATAGATTCATTAATCATTGGTAAGTATGGGAAAATTGTTCTTTACTCCAGGAAAATTCATTTTTGGGCCAAAACGAAGAGTTATTATCCCTTTAAGTGACTGTTATCCCTAAAACATTACAAGATATAAAGTCTTGGAACCATGAACAATCTAACTGAGAAGGCCATGTTGATGTTCTATTAGTTCATCTACTGACAAATACTGACACGGCCTCCCATCTGTTAGCTGAGAATAATAGATGTACTGCATGGTCCTCCAGTTCACACTTCTTCTCTAGATACTGACTGATAATACCCCCTATTGCTGTCCCACGATCTGAAACATTGAGAAGAGATTTCTAAACCTGGATCGAAGCAACCGATTTTGTTAACAATATACACAAAGTATACGCAAATATAGTAACTAGTAATAATGTCATGCATACATTACATGTATCAGTACTGTGTGCTAATTGATTAGGGTCACAAAGAAGGAAGTTTAACATACATGTTGAAAATGAAATGACCAAGTTGTTATTACATAGTAATTTAAGGGATTACACGCACTGTATTGATTTCCTCAGAATTGCAATTCTGACTGGATTTTTTTAAAATTTATTTTGAGTCTAAACACAATCGATTGTTTATCTACAAATAGGCTCCTTTTTCTTGTATGGATCTAACAATGTGTTGCTTTACAGGGTACTGTCAGTTTACAAGGAGTTTGTTTGAACTTCTTGGTTTTTATTTTTACAAAACACACTCAGGCATATTGCTGAAAAAATAATTATTAGTAGTGGCCTCTGTGTGCATGTTCAGAAAGGATTTCCTCTGTTCCAGCTGTAGTTGGAATTCCTATACAGGAACCTACACTGTATATATAATAGGCTTCCAAAATGTTCTGCATACTTTTTTTCTGTATAAACAATAGCATCTGAAAATCCCAATATAGTTCGGCTTTACATTTTAAAATAAAGAGAATAAGAAATACCTGATATTGCAGTTTTAAAGTAAATTTAAAATATATGAATTTTGTTCACTGAATACCTAGCAAAATATTCTCAATGCAAATGGTATATTAAATTTTATAAAATCTGTTTGATACATTACTTTTTATGACAGTAGATGTATTTTGAAGACTTATTTACAACACAACTCACCAGCTTTATTTTGATACAAAGGACACGTCTTTTTCATCATTGACATAGTTTCTATTGCTCCACTGATATCAAGTGTATAGTCCCATGGCAAATTCCCATCCTCTAAGTCCTACTTAAACTAAGGTTTGAGGATATTTGTAGTGCCTAATAAATGCTTCTGTGAATGACTGAACTAATAATAAAAATGCTAACAATGTTGCTTATATGATTGGTTGCTTTCATGGTGAATATTAAACTCTCTCAAACAACAGTCTTGTTACATGTACTTTCTAATGAACCAATATTAAGTACAAGAATGCTGAAATAATTTCTGACAGCTTCACGATGTAGAGATAAGTCATAACTGACAGCAATATTTCATGTCATAAGACAATCTTGCATACATTCTTCCTTGAGTCCACAAGTGTTTATCGTGATGATCAGCTCAAATTTCTCCTTATATCTATCCTTTATGAAAAAGGTTGCTTCTATGTAAGGTTAAACTTATGATTACACATTAAATTCTCTCAAACTATAACTGTTATTACCCAATGAACAAGAAAAACAAAGTACAAGATAACTGAACTATCTTCTGACAACACGATGTTGGATTAATAGCATTTGGTAGGATTTCACGTTTTTAGACTGTCTTGAGTTCATATTGGTCGATCCTGCTGATCAGCTGAAGCTTTAGCTTGTATATATCCTTTTCCTTTTGGTGTACTTGATCGCGATATGAAGTTTATTTTATTTTATTTGGTTCACCTATGTTACCCCTACGATTCCCCGTCGTTCATTCCCTCCAGCATGGCCGCGGGACTAGTGTTACGGAGCAAATATGACGTCGCTGTAATGGGTTAATACGATCAATTACTGACTTGACATCAGTATCGAGTGATACAGCTGGTAAATGACAACAATCCTGATCAGAGACGTGCTCATTCGCCTTCAGCAATATTAAAACCTAAACAAGAAGCAATCTTTATAGCACCAGCACCTTAACATAAATCAGTTACCTGGGAAGCGCCAAAGTTTAGCAGGTGTCCCCGAATTCTCCAGCGCTTCGACTAACTTTACACACTGCGTGGATTTTCCTGCGCGGTCACAGCCCTCAAACACGATCAGTGAGCCCCTTCCCATGGTTGATTTTTTTCTTGATCCTTTAAAATTGGCACCCACGCAATATTTCCTAGTGGCGACGGGGGCAAGTCTTGACCTGATACACCTTATTTTCGCGGGAAAACCAAACATTGACACGGTTAAAAATTGCTAATTATCGTCACCGATATGAAGAGACCGACCAAGAGGAACCAAATCACAAGTTTTTGAATTTCCGGTTTATGTAACCCAGCTTCCGTCACTCTTGTCTTCACGTGTTCGACGCACGACCTAATAGATTGATCATGGTAAGAACACTGAAAAGTGGTATTATATGCCCTTTTGTTTCGCAAGGATCTTAAGCTTATGGTTTTATTCCTTGTCATTCTCTTCCCCAAATGTTTCATGTCTGAGATTCCAGCGTTCACAAAAACAATCTGACACTAATAGCTCCATGTGTATGAACGAAATTTAAGCTACTTTTTTTGAACAGTACTATAATAAGTGTTAGTAGTAGTAGTAGTAGTATAGGACTATAGTGAAGTAGAAGTACACAATACCACTGCTATGTACACACGCCCTTATATTATCTTAAAATTTACATGATATTTTTCTCTCCAGGGCTACATGTATGTGTACCACGAGCTGAAGTCAAGATGATACAGAAACTTCTCCCAGAACTGACTCTGGTAGGAGTCTTGACAATGACAGCGAGGCGCTCCGCCAAATCCAGGTTACCTCCTGCTATCATATATCCGTCCCGCACATTTCACATCCTCAGTACAACAAAGACACGTGATCAGGAACCTAATGGCAAGGAATTCGCAGATGACAAAGGACAAACTGTGCCAAATGTTAAACCTCAGACAGAGAACAATGCTACACCAAAGCCTACCCAAATTCTTGACTCCAACAGATTTCAGCCTCCATGGGAAAGTGCTTTGCTTTCTTCACAAGAGCTGCAAACAGATGCAGTGAAACCCAAAGAAACTTTCAAACTGAGGTTAAGGAAAGATTTTAACTTTAGTAAGGAGATGTATCTTAAAGCCCGTAACATTCAGAGTGATGATGAGAAAGAGGTGAGAAAAAGGTTGAAGCTAATCCTACATTTGTTTATTAATTTAGTTTCACCATGATAATCATTATTATTATATTTCAATACTTGTCAAAAGTCCCCAAGTCAGGACTGGCTTTAAGGTAAACAAAACTATTTCATGTGTAGTATGGATTATCAGCTTTCCACATGAGCCAATAATCTTTATATTTGAGTTGGGTGGCTTCTACATATGCATATATTTCACTATAAAAGTAACTCTTGATGTTTAAAGGTATAAAAAACACTGAGTCAGGTTGATTATGTGCCTTTGTAAACCAAATGAAATGTTTCAAAAATATTTAAAACATACCAATTGTATTACAATTGTTGAGTATGATATGCCATTGTATATTCTATTTAGTTTTAAATCTAAATAGAATTCTTTCCATTTTCATTTCAGTATATAGTGCAAGAATTAACAAAAGGATTTGAACTTATTGTCGACAAAAACCATGAAAGTAATGACAAACCTAACAAGGATAAAGAAATTAGCAACAAATTAGACAAACTTCTCAAAATGGGGTGTACCTTGGCTGATATCTTAGAATACCCTTACGTTTTACAGTATGTGAACAGTTCAATAGATGACCGCCACGAAAGGCTTCAAAATGCCAACCTCCACGTCCATCCTTTAGGTTTGACTTGGGCCTCAGGGATTACTAAGCCATGCTGTTTGCAGCACTATGCAGCAATGGGGAACCATACCTCCTTGATGTCGTACTTGGCAGAGAAATTAGGGATCAGTTTGTCTGACATTGTGCCAGAGCATTTTAAACCATTAAAGCCAGTGGTTGATATGGCTGCCATGGATACAAAGCTTACAATCCTCAGGAGAGCTGGCTGCACTGTAGATTTACTGAAGGCTAAAATTGACCAGGTGAATATGCTTAAGGTTGACCAAGTGCAGGAATGGTTCAAAAAACACGAGGAAGATTTTAAAACTGCTGGCAATCTACCTGCATTACTGACCGACTTGTTTCCAGTAGACTTCATTGAGAACTACTTCAAAATTCCCCATGAAGAGATTCAGCGGCACTGCCGTTATTACAATAAATGTTTGCCTACCACTGCCAGACACAGGATTGATCTGCCATTTGTCCAGGATGCCCTTCCCGAGGCTGTTCTGGACCAGGGCAGGTCGTTACTGAAAGCAAGTTCTGAGAGGCTTGAGACAGCTTACCATGGATTGGTTAGGGAAAGGATCTGGAATAACATCTCCATGAAGGAGGTTTTGTATCAGACACATTACAAACATTTACCAATTATTAAACGGAGTCTTTTTGTTTATATTAAGGAGAATGAGGAATTGTACATACTGCCTGTAGCACCTGCTACTTGGCCTCAGTTTAAAGACAAGTCATATTTAAGGACTGATCGCCCCTCATGGGAAATACGAGAGAACTTCAGTTATCTGAAATCGAAGGGTTTTAATGTTCGTGACATTGAAGCCTGTCTCTTTATCTTGGATATTCATCCCACCATTTTGTCCAAGTATGTGGAGGCAGCGCCCTCTAGGGCAGAGCTTCAACCTTACACAAAGTGGGAAAAAACGCCACAAAGATTGCTCAATGCCATCCTTTACTTGAGCCAAGTGGACAAAAATTTTAGCTGTTTACAAGTTAAAAAGAAAAGCAAGAAATAATTAAGTAGCAATTGAAATGTTTTTTATTATGTTTAATAAATGTTTAAAGAATATTTGGAAACGGAAATTGCACCCATATTTCACTTCACATTAGCTGATTTTTTTTTTTTTTTTTAGTTTATTTATAATATGTATTTTTTGTTACATTTCATGAACTTAAGTATTGTACTTAGACCGAAAAACAATACTGACAGTCAAAAGATTATATTTAAGTGTTGATCTTTTATCATGTGCTTGTAATGTTTCATAATGTTATAGTTGTGCTTCCCAGTCCATTCCTTACAGTTCATCTATCATATCATCTGAAGGCAATAAAAATTTTAATAACTGTCATTAAACTGCATACTGTATGGATGTTTTCCCTAATCTCTAGCAGGGACAGAGAATTTTCTCATTAGATATTCACAGACATTTTTCTTTATTTTTTGGTTACTTCAAGTGGAAATTTCTGCAAAATCACCCAGTTTATTCCTAGAAGAGAATGTATTGCCCTATTATACGTAACCATTCTCTGGTAGGAAGCATTCACATCGAGAAGAGCCAAGGTCATGTAAGGCCTAAATATGGCAGACCTACATGAAAGGAAGACAGCTTGATCCATTACTGGTCTCTCTGCCTCTCACACGCCTCCCCTCGCGTCGTCCCTGCAGGGGCACAGTTATTAAATCTTGGCTCAATTCAACCGGTCCAGGGACGACGCGTGGGGAGACGTGTGAGAGGCAGAGAAACCATTACAGGATTAAGCGGTTTCTCTTACATGTAGATCCACCATATTTAGTTTGCAACCTTACTAGACCCCGGCTTTTCTCGATGTGAATGCTCCCTAAGTTGGAAGAATTCCGTAAAGATTTTTACATGCTTCAAAATATCTAAAATCATTTATTTACAGAAAGGACTTTATATATATATATATATAGAGAGAGAGAGAGAGAGAGAGAGAGAATGTAAACTAAAGATGGGATACAACAGTAGTGAGCTTTTTCCGCAGAATCACAGAATTCCAAGATTTTAAATTCATTTCTTATAGGAACTAACTGATTACACAGGTCCCTTGCTGGCCTAATGTCATGTGAGTCACAGTTAGTGATAAGTTTTTACTGAGTTTGTGACAAAAGAGCTTTTAATCTTTAAGTACTCTGAGATGTTTTCAAAAACCCAGACTCATGTCTGATATTAACAAAAAATTAAGAAAATGAGAAATAAAAGGACATTTAAACATTATCTGCAGTGTTAAACAGACACAGCTTCTGAACTACCACACTGCAGGCAAAATTCATCATAAACTTGTCTCCAACTGCATTAGTTCAAATTAATCATCGATATCATGGGTGTCTATGTATGTTTGTAAGCAACATTTGTTGGCTGAAATGCTACAAACACGGGGTCAGTTGCCGCGTCAACGGCGTCTGCAGTCACCACCTCCACCTCGTGTGTGGGCTGTGCAAAGAGCTGATAGAATGCATGCATGTCCTGATCGTCAGTAACGTGGTGGTCGGCTGCACTGTCATGCTGTGCATTCTTATGATCTTGATGGCCAATGCTTCCTTTCAAATATGTGACACCAATGCCTTGATTGGGCACTATTTTGGAGAGGTTACTGGTATGATGTGTAAAACCCTTTGTGATTAAGTGTTTAGATTTGTCCAGATCAACATAAAGACACTTCGTCTGATAAGTGTTCCCCCTGCTTTCATAGTTCAACTGGGACCCCCTTGTTGATGAAGTGTTGGCAACACCCTTGTTATATTGTTTCCTACTCCTGTTTAATTTGGTCCCACGATTTCTCAAAAGTATTTTATCCTTGTTCTTTTCGTGCATCAGACTTATGTGGCGTTTCATATTATGCTTGCTATTCGTCAATTTGCCACACTGTGGGCATTCATGTTGAATTCCCGAGTGAATCTCCACCAGATGGCGGCGTAGGTTTTGTGCTCTTTTAAATGCCCTTCCGCAAAATTCACACGTCAATGGAGCCTCACCCGTGTGAATTCTTTCGTGTTGCACTTTGTCTACTTTTGAGCTGAAAATCTTTTCACAGTACTGACATGCATGTTTTCCTGTTGCTAGGTTACGATGCTTTGTCACATGTGCACGATATGCAGACTCACGATCAAAATGTTTTCCACAGAAGTCACATAGCAATGAACGTTTTTTATGCACCCTTTTTACATGTTGTTCAAGGGATCTTGGATTGTTAAAAACTTTCTGACACTCATCACATCTATGCTCACCAAAAGGTCCATGATGAATGATTTGATGAGTTTTTAACCCATAAAGAGTTGTGTATATTTTATCACAATGAACACACTTGAATTCTTTCCTTTCTGCGTGGCTTTCCAAATGTTCCCTGACCTTGACCTTGCACTGAAAAACCAGGTCACATAGTGGACACCTTAATTCGCTGTCAGAATGAGCTCTGCTGTGTTTCTGAAGTTCAACCTCTGTCAAGAACTTCCTGTCACACCTGTCACAATCAAATTGCTTTAAATCCTCTGATTGTAAATTTTTTAACTGTGTACAGTCCAATTTGCAGCTTTGTGCTGACAAATTAGATTTGGTGGTCTTTCTCTTTGTTTTTTTCCTCGTGTTTACTCTTGTCCCTCCTTGGGAATATTTAACTGAAGTTTTTCTTTTCCGATTCTGGTTGGGTTTTCTTGTCTGGATCTTGACAGTGGTGTCATCTTTATTTTGATTTGCCAGTGCTGGTTGTCTTTTTTCAACCTGTCTAATTTTTCTGTGGGTCCTAACATTCCTATCTAAATAGACACACTTTGTTTTATTATTGTCTCTAGAGTCTAATTCATGTTCTGTTTTTAGTTCTCCATCTTCGCTTTCATGGCCATTTCCAAAGCTGTCTTTTTCTACAGATTCAAAATTAAGTTCATTTTCATCATCCAGCAACTCTCTTTTGATTCCCAGCTCACTGTCTTCGTCCTGTTCGCTATTTCCAAAAGTTTCTTTTACTGCACAATGAGATGGTGTCCCAAGTTCAGAGTCATCACCAAAAATTTTGTTTACTGATGTTTGTTTTTCAGAGTGCCCATTCTCTCTTTCACCTGTGTCTGCTTTTCCATCAATTTTCACTTCAGTCAGTTCTTTACAAAATTCTGCTCTTTCACTCTGCGTCATTATAGCATTATGATCTTTGTTTTTCCCATCAAAACCTGTTTCTCCACCCTCGCCATCCCTTGAGACAACATCAGCTAAAGGCTCTGAGAATGTCCTGCATGGAATGCTAAATTTGTAGTTCTCCAGTTCACACAGATTTTGTGAGCACACAGTTAACAGGTAATGTTTGTAGCTCTGTGCAATCTCCTGACAAATCTGTAGGTAAGCTGCCTTCTGGTCATTATCAAGTCCCTTTAAGCTGATCACCTTGAAGAACAGATATATAAAAGCATCCTGGGACAGATGAACCTCCTTGTCCACCATCTTAATGTGATCTTCTTTAATGGGTAAACCATAATCTGCCAAGATACATTCCATTTTATTGATGCTGCAGTCCAAGTCTCCACTGTCTACAACCACATGGCTTTTATGTTTACCAGTTCCACAATTACTCTTGAGATTTAATCTCTTTTGACCTTGGCCTTGACCTGAGAGGTCAAGGTCACCCACAGATATGTTGGTGTCATTGGACTCTGATGTAGTAGTTTTTACTGCTGAAGGGTGTGTTTGGAACTCTGCATGATTATCTTGGCCTGGATCTTCACCCTAGGAAATAATAATAATAATAATAATAATAATAATAATAATAATAATAATAATAATAAGTAGAAAGCTTATTATTGAAGAAAAGACTTATGTATATATACAGGTCCATTTGTAATATAATTTATGCTAACATCAAATGTCATGCCCCCTTAGCAAAATATTAGGTCTGTCACAAACTTATTGTAAATTAGCTGCAATTTTCCTAAAATTATTCCAGTCTTGAAAAATTGCTACAAATTATCAGCAATAAAATTTTTTCTTGCAAACTCCTGCATTTTTCCTTGCTGCAAACATTTAGTTTAGGCAGCAAATTTGCTGCAACAAATCTTTTCATTTTGCTTATGGAATTGTTATAAGTTAAACTGTTAAACAAACTAAATTCATCACAAGATTTCTTATCTCTCTCTCTAAATGTAATGACCTGTAGGTGAAATTAAATATTTCTTATAACGATTACCAAATCCACTACTGTACTCATTATTATTACAGGGGCGGATTTAGGCCGTCTTCTGGGTCTTCCGGAAGACGGTCAGATTTTCAAGTTTACATTGTCGGGCATCTAATGTTTTCTGTCGGAAGACGGTCAAAAATGAAGGATGGATCAACAAATATAATTTGGAAGACTGTCAGAAAATATCTCTGGATACGCCCCTGTATTATTATTACTATTCTCAATTTTCTTATGCCAGTTTCTATAGAAAATAACCCCAATCAACGACTCACAATTTACAAAATAACCATATATATATATAATTGTAAAAGGACCGTACCTGTCCACCCCCTGTCATTGTGGAGAACAACGCCATGCCCTGGGACACATTAAAGTAAACCTGGTCACCAATTATCCTGCATGGCACTGACATCCTAAATGATATCTGAAATTAGATCATTTATTTGTTTGTTTTATTTGTTCGTTTGTTTATTTGTTTGTTTAATCAATTATTTAATTGTTTATTTATTTATTGTATTACAGTAGTGGTACCGTGCCACTGGTATGGCAGATGACAAGGGTAATGAGGTCCTTTTCGCACCGTTTTTGACAGTCAAACCATGCTGTAATTACGCCAAGGGAGAGGGGGCGGGGCGCTCCCTCCCGCAAGTGCGTTTCTAACTATTTGACTTTGGCCCAATCAAAATGAACCAGGTTAACTGGGAGTGTTGAGTGCAGGGGTTCTTACCAAGCTATTGATGTGTCTATCTGTCAAGATGGACCAATACCGAGAAGCCCTAATTAATAATTAAGGCATTGGGGGGGGGGGGGGGGCACGATGTAATGTTCACTGTTAGTAGATCATGTCAACGTAAAGAGCATACTGGTAGTGCTAAATCATTACAATGTAGCGGGGATTCTTGACAAAAAAAAAAAAAATATATATATATATATATATATATATAAATATATATAAAAGGAACTGGATGGAGTGTTTTCAATATCCCGCATATCTTCTGAAATACGCCGAGACAGGACTGGTGGTTCTCCGAAATGATTCATTATGCAACGATGAAAAAAAACTAGCGATTTACTACGACTTTTTGATACATTTTCTTTCATACCTCTGTACTTTCCAGAAAATATACCCTTGAAACAAGACTTCTCAAGCTTCGTGCAGTCAGGGAATCGCACTGTTCAGCTAAAAAAAGGCAAACAAAACAAATAGGCCAACATGCAATATGGCCCCTCACCTCGCAGAGACTTATGGTAAATAGGTCATACAAGACAAGACCAAACCAAAGTAAAACCCTTCTATGTCCCTTCTTACGATATCGTATGTTGTGCTGACCAGTGAAAACGTAAGTTGCGTTTCCAACCAATGAATTTCTGAAATCACTTATAAAGCTGTCTGTCATTCATATTTGTTTAGTTTGATTTAGGGGCTAATCGTTAATCGTTTATTTATTTATTTATTTATTTATTTATTTATTTATTTATTTAATATTTTTTATTTATTAAAACATTTACCACAACTTTCCCTGATTGCATATCGGACCCCATCCCTTGGGAATAAAATTATTGAAAACCATTTAATTGATCAGTGCACCTTTCATGTACGTAATATCTTAAGAAATATTAATATTTTTTATTACTGTGGAAGGAGTTTACACCCATTAGTGACGTGATGATACATATACAAGGAAACCGTTGATGAAATTCAAATCGTGTGTACCACCCTCAGAATTATAAAAGAGATAGGGCCTACATGTATGTATTGCATTCAGAAACATACGAATTAACATGAGTGGTGCCTTATTCTAAACGCTTCAATAATCATGGTAGTGAAAGATTTGGTCTCTTCTCAAGAATGACCCGGCCCTTTCACTTTTTAATCACTTTTTCACTTTTTAAAGTGAAGATATCCAAGTTCAATGTTTTAAACTCTGCACACACGGAAAAATGGGAACCCAGACGTCCGTATTAATTGTAATTATAACTTCAACAACTAGCGTTTAGTATTCTAAAAGAATGCACAAAAAATAATAATAATAAAATGAAATAAAAATTACAATGCACTGTCAATCACCAACACTATATATTTATATATTTTAACAATTAAACATACAGACTTGGTCAAAAAGGTTTACAAATTTGTTTAAAAATTATCACCTCACATCTATAAACCATTTTAAACAGCGTTTTTCCAGATATCATATATGACACTAGTACAGAAAATAATTAAAAAATACTGGTGAAAATATACATATACATATACTTTTTACCATCCACACTGTATTCAAATTTAGAGCAAATATCCCCTTCAAAGAAAATGTCAAAAAAATTTAAAAGACACTTACATACTTACATTACACTTACATTTATCACCAAATTTACACACAATGGACATCAGCATGTGCTTGTCAAAGGTTACGTGTCATGTAGCGTATTTCTGTCGCGCACTGCAATTAACGTCTCTAGAGGGCGCGGCAGGCCTTCATCAAGGGGAAGAATTCTTTCTGGAATTCACATGTGTGATTGTTAGCATGCTATCCATTCATCAGAACTTCAATCTTCACTCGCGCATAACCACCAGGAATTTGGGGGGCCAAATAATTTTACCCAATATTTTACGCATTTCTGTTTCACCCCCAAAATAATCTAAAATTTTACTTTAACGTGCAACGTGCATTTCTAATGCAACAAAATTAAATTGGAAATGTCATCCAATACAGATTGATGACATAGTATTTGAATTGCTAAATTTAAATCACAGTAGGCAAGGTTTAAACCTTTTCATCTTAAATGGCGGGAGTTCCTTTACTTCTTTTGTGCAGAACATTATAGTTATTTTTGGATCAAAAGCCTTAAGCGACCTCGAATAAGCTGCTGTCCCCAATTTCTTCTAGCATGGCCAATGCACCAATTTGGATGCCAGGGAAAAAGAGAAACTAGGTTTTTTAGGATATTTGGGATCTTGTTTGGGAAAATATAACGTAAGTAATTTGCCGCCAGTTGTATGTGTTTGTGTTGATTGAATCGACAGTTAATATACCGGCTACACGCAGGTGTATGGGCACGCAATGCATTATAGTGAATAGATACATATAAATTAGTCATACCCTCATTCTTTTTTTTTCCGTTGGATATTAATGGATATTACTCTGAATAATTTTGTGTACATTTCCATTAACAACCCTGTCTGTACCGCCAAGTCGTAAATTGCATGACGAAAACCCATAATTGACTTTCATATAAGCGGTTTGCTTATCGTCAGTCAAGGATAGGTTTACGGTCGAGGTCGGAGGAATTTTATATTACAAGTGAATACCGAGTTTACCACGGATAAAACGATGACTGGTCATCCTTCCTGCTTGGCTATCCTCTCTGCTACACTGCAGTTAAGTCTGAGAGATTAAATCATAGGATCTTCGGATTGCGTTTAAGGTAAAGTGCTTTAAAAACGTTACACGTCTTATTTGGAGGCCAGATATGACATTCAGGGGTCCAAACGTTCTGTTGCTCAACAACAAAGGTACGTACATTTGTACATCAGCTGACCTCTGTACTTCTTGATAATGTCACACGGAGAACACGATGTCCCCTCTGACTGAATGACTGAATGTCCACTGGTGGTGGCTACCAGGGCCACAGATTGATTTTTCATTATATATTTACAGGTATGTCTCCCGTTAATTCCTGACACACTACTCTCGCCACAGAAAATTGCACATAATTAATCTGCGGCACTTAAGCGGGGAGGGAGGAGGGGGGGGGGCGATGGGTTCGAACCGCCGTTTTTGCCCGGAAAAGGTCCGCTGTGGCTGGCAAATTATCTGGGCACACGAAGGATTTATGGTAAATGGTCCACTTTTTCAGAAAAAAAAACCACCCCCCCGTAATTAGGTTGAGTTTAAAAATTTTCCTCCTTAACCAGTTCAATTCTCTTGGTGTGAGTCTGGGGTTGATCTCTGTAAGACCCCTTTCCCATAGATTTTAGATCAATCTATCCCTGTGGGGAGTCTCACTAGATTACTGTCAGTTTAGCCGGCTTAAATGTCCGTCCCGCCTACTACAAGCTGTAAGGGGGTCATTAACTTTCGTGCCCGCTCGGCTTACGGCTATCTAGCGTGAACCCCCAGGGAGTTAGGTCCATCTAAATCTAAATCTCTGGATCGATCTAAATCTCTGGGAATGCACCTTAAGTTAATTAAAAGGAAAGAAAAGCCCAGGAGGAAAAAAATGTACTTGGTATGATATTTGCCTTTGTCCCTGTGTCATATTTATGTGCCTACCGTTGTACATATCCTGTAATACTATACTTAGCTTCCCTATCTTAGACCTTAATAAGGACAAATCCCTAGCGTAATTTTAAAAAGTACTCGATAACAATATTTCCTTTTAAAATATACGTTAGGCATGGCGGTTGAAGTGATCAGAAAGTCACCTAGAACTAAATTATTTAATGAGAAATGGTATAAACCATCGATCACAAGTACAGAGACGGGTGGGGCGAGAACACGTGAGTAGGAAATTGCTTTTTTTTTCATATGAAACTCCGATTTGGCCAGGAAAGTCCAATGACTCGGGTAAAAAGCAAATCCCCTGCGGAAATTTGTCTCATTTAACGTTCACTTACGTTTCTCAATCTATTCTAGAACATTTAATTTTTTTTTTTTACAGTTCTAATGTTGTTCTGTAATGAATGTACCAGTTCGAGATCTATTTTTGGGAAGTCCTTCAGAATGTCCTAGAATAAATTAAGAGCATTTTTTCATTAAAGGGGAAAAACATTGTTTTAGGACACATTGAGAACCGTAAGTGAGCGTTAAATGAGAAAAATTTTCACAGGGGGATGCAGGCTAAGTCAAATAAGTAGGTTTGTTAATTTGTTTTCATCCCACCCTTTAGAAAGTGCGTTAAGTTTTCCGCATCCTACATAAATATACCCCGGTAATTCAACTGCTTTCTGTAACAAAGGTGACTTAATTCCTCAAGCTTTAGACAGCCCCATCCTTGCTCGTCTCATCTTTCTTCAACATCAATGTAATAAGCGAGAAATAGAGCGAGGAATGAATGCGCCGTGTCACGTTGTCTATGAATACAAATGTACCTGCATCGTTGCCGCCGTTGTCCTTATAACCCAGACAACTGTATATAGCTATTATAATGGGGACAGGTATAGAACTATATGGGCTAGTATGGTAGAAAAACACGCCTGCCACCTGCGCCAAGGTAAAAAAAAAACTACGTAAATAACATTATATAATATAATAACCGATATCTAAACACTTTCTCTTGGTTCTCCTGGCTACTGTCTCTTTTATAGCTTCCCAGAACACAGTCTCTCTGTGTGTCTGTGTGTGTGTGTGTGCGTGTGTGTGTACTTGTGCGTTTTTGCGGGGGTGGGGGGGGGGGGTGGGGGGGGGGGGGGGGGGGGGGGGGGGGGGGAAGAGGGGGATATATACAGAAAACTAGAAAGTCATCTCTCCCATCGGATACAAGGATCCAGTCTTGACCTCCCAAAAATAATATTATTGCCAAACATTCCGAATGAGCTCTTCAATGCCAACCTCAGAATATAGAAATATAGTGCCTTTTACGTTTCAGATATAAACACAATGCCTACAAACACAAGGCCTACTCAAGTGTATTGTACCATTATTATCATTACGCAACATTATGCAGGCACCATTTTATGAGTTCTTTTATGTTTCCAAATTTATTTTAACAGCATTTGTATTAGTCTTATTGATCTTACCTCCCTTTTTAAGGCTGTTAGTGTGATAGATTGTTACTAAAACCGCGAAATGTACAGGGGCGTAACCAGGCATACGCACGGATGCACTGTGCGTACAATTTTTTGAGCCAACCATGATATTATTCTCCATAAATTCAGTGTATTTTTCACGGAATATAATCGTATCTGTGAATTTTCAAAATCTGTGCGTACAATTTTAAAAGGTCTGGTTACGCCCCTGATGTATACAGGGAGCAATAAAAAAAGACACAAGAAAGCTTGTGTTAAATCTAATGTCCTTGTGCACATCATAACATATTACAGGTGATTCTGGATGTATAAAAACTTTCTGACTTAATGGCCTCTTAAAAACCTTTAAAGGTACATTTCTGTATCTTTTGTTTATCCTGGACTTTTCTCGCAAGATACAAGTTTTCTTTAGAATAGAAGAGAAAAAATTCCTCCTCTCAGGAAGCATTTCTTGATTTGTCCCTGCACTTGGGTTTGATATTTCCTACCAATATAGTTTTCGATCACTTACACCGCCATGCCTCCCTGTACACTTCACAGGGAAATAAAGACACCAGGTGTGTTTTAATCGTGTTTAAGGTCTGAATTGGAAAAATTGAGCTTTGCACAATATAAAGCCACAGGCGGTATGACTTTTCGGACATTTTCAAACGCGAATGGTAGACATTTAATATTCTTGGCTTCGTCAACGCGCTCAGGTAACCGGGTCGCGTTTTGTACTAGTTCATATGTAGGTCGTTCGAACATATTGAAAAGTTCAATGATTTAGAGCAGCTTTTATGGCTCGTGCTTTGGTAATAAAAGCATTAATCAGCTTGATATCTCTCTGCTTATCTCTCTGGAAACTGTAGGTCTGATGCTGAATCAATACACGGTCTTTGGAGTGTATTGAAACACAACGTACGCCAAACTATTAATATCTGGATTATTTAGCTCAAATAAGTCGTTACATGATTACACGTGTGCATTGTCGTGAGGGTAGTGCAATATTCTACCGTAAATACCGTAAATAATGAATATACAAAAATGTACTTCATGAGGAGTAAAATTTCCTTTTTTCTATCATTAGTTTATATATTTATGTGTTATTATTTTTCTTCTTTTTTAAGGGGGGGGGGGGAGAACAGAGATAGAGAAGAATACAAAGATAGCGACGGGGAAACAGGAGTTGAGAGGTCCCCCCCCCCCATTCCCCTTGCTCCCTGTGCTTAAAACTGATGTTGTTGGAAAAAAGTGTCTGTTGGGAATCTTTGTCGATCTACAGGACATGTTTCAAGGCTATGCTATACTATATTATACAACTTTTGACTTTATTTCAGATTCTCTGGACCCTGGAACAGGAGTCAAATGCCATATTTCATCTTCGTGCTGACTTAATTAAATAGAAATAATTAAATAGAAAATAAATAGGACATAGACTGTTACTACGTCTTTGGTTGGCGCGAGAAGGAACGTTGATGGTCCTTATCGAGTATTGAACCCAACTGCGATCTGTGCCAGGAGAAAAGTTTGAGCATCAGAGATGCACAATTTCACTTTATACGTAAAAGAAAGAAGAGGATAATACTACACCAAACGGTCTTTAGACTTTTAAATCTTGGGAATTGGCCCGTCTTGTGGTTGGGCTCGTATTGCGAAGAAAGTGCGGATTTGAAATACACGTGCTCATTCAGATACATCTATTTTAAAACGCCTTTAACAAATTTATCTGCATTAATAATTAAATGCTTATTTCTCGTATGCAGTCATACAATCACTATCAACTGCGGCCAAACTATTGGGATTTTTATTAGTTTCAACTCATTCACATCACGAAAGAGATTCTGGCATACAGTAAAAATCATGAGGCGTCTCTCTTTATTCACAGTGGCTCGGCTATGCAGGCCATTCCTGAAACATAAAGTTCTGAAGTTCTTCACAGTGACTGTGATTATTTGTTTTACCTTAAGCATTTATCACTTACAGCATAGACCTATCCAAGCAAAAAGATATGTCAAATCTCTGCCAAATTATGCATGGTTAAAAAGGTCCGGTCAGCGCTCAAATCAAAACGATGACAGGGCATGTGTATATCCAGTATTGGACCCATACAGCCCCGAGATGATGTCTTTTTTTGAAAAACCGTCGCCGGTGGAATGCTGGATAGATGAAGACTGGGTTTATATAGAAAATGGCACATTTCGATTTTCAGAAACAGCTTTGAGGAAATACGGACCAGACATCGAATGTTCCTATAGAACTATAACGCGTGGCAAAACTGACTTTGAGGTGGAACGAGGTCCACGTGTGCCCTTCAAAGATGGAGACCCTTTAAAGACTGACTTTGCAGTTGTGCGATGCTATGGTCGTTTTTGGAAAAAGTTTGAAACTATTCTCTCCGGCATCTCTTTTCGGCCTCACCTTCATGCCAGATATAAACCATCAATGCTGTTGGACTCCTCAATGGGTTTTAATGTTCTCATGTTTGGATTTGACTCAGTATCAAGAATGACATGGATTAGGAATTTAAGGAAAAGTTACGATTATTTCACCAAAGAATTGGGCGGTATCGTCCTGGAAGGATATAACATAGTTGGGGACGGAACGCCGCAAGCTCTTTTGCCAATTCTAACTGGGCATACAGAATGGGAACTACCCGAAGCCAGACGAGGAAAGCCGAATGCAAAACATGTGGACGGGTAAATCTCTCTCTCTCTCTCTCTCTCGTCTTATGTATTCCTGGTTCTCATTTATGTACTGTTTTTACAGATCTTGTCTCGTTCTTACCACCTCTAATGCGTAGCACTCATATGGTGTCACGATGGCGCAGGGTTCGTATTATTTAAGCCATCTTGGATGATCCACATTAAGAAAAGTTAATGAAACATCAGGAGCTGAACCACAGACAAACTTAAACCACGCTTGCGTGTTAGATCAACGTGGTCAACTCGTTTTACGCGTGATGCGCCGGGTGTTAGGGACCATTCCCACAGATATGTGGATCGATCTATCTCCCTGGGGAGTCTCACTAAATTGCTATCAATGCAACCGCCTTAAATGTCTGTCACGTCTAGTAAAGCTGTTAGAGGGTAATTATCTTTACTCACTCGTTGATTTGGTAGGCGTGACAGACATTTAAGCCGGTTAATTGGTGGCAATTTAGTGAGACTCCCCAGGGAGTTAGACCGATCTAGATGGATCGATCTAGGCATGGGAACCCAGTCTTAGTCTTTAAGTCCTCACTTTCATGTGGCACCCTCCCTGTCAGCACTCACATGTGGGACCCAGATGGGTAGGTGGTTGCTTTGTGAGCAGATCTGGGCAGAGGTTAAATTCCGTGGTCTTATCTGGGTCCCTGATAGTCCTGATAGACCTCATATGGGCTAGCATAGCTATCTCATGGGTCACTTCACTGTGTGTACATGTACGTATAGTGACTCCTGATATCTGTTGTTGACAGGACATATTTGAGACTATATATGATCAGCGATATTTGAGCCTATTTTTGAGTAAATTGGAGCTGATGATTATACTAGGTTCGCTAGATCTGAACCATTAGTTTTTTTTAATCTTAAAAATAATCTTTTTTAATCTTAAAAATAGGTTGCCCATTTTGTGGACCTGTAGGCCTATCAGCAAAAAACCCTTCCCTTCATTAGGCCACGTCAGAACCTATAAATCATATATGGGGCCACTCAGAATAGATGATCCGAGTACTAACTGATCCGCCGACTAAATATGGCCGACCGCGCTTCAAAATCGATATCGCTAATTCCATGATGGTCTTCCCGCAGTTAGTAGCCTACTCGGATCATTTAATCTGAATGGCCTCTATGAACCAGCTATTTTAATCCGTTTGGGATTGTCAACATATAGGACCCACATCACAGTCCATACGGGCCCAGACAGGGACCATCACTCTGGGTTGACTGGGTTTATTCGTAGTTTATTGTTTATTGGGTTTATTGCTTGCATTTAATTTTTTGTTGTTCATCAGATCAGTCACCATTTCTGCTGCTTATTCCTCATACTTTAGATTTCTAATAACATGATTATATTAAAAGATCAACCTAATGTGTTTTATTTTACAATGATATTGACTAGTGCCAAGGGCTGACTTATAAAAATATTTGTGTATTTGAATTCCCTGTTCCTGCAAAGAAAGAATCCACATGAGGTTGTTCTTAATTCTTTAAAAATCGTGTTTAAAGAGACGTTTATCAACGAGCAATGACGTCTTAATATATGTCAATAATGACTATTCTGATTTATTTCTACAGGTTTCCTTGGGTTTGGAATGAATTCAAGAAACTCGGTTACGTCACTCAGTGGGGAGAAGATATGTCCCACGTCGGCACATTCCAAATGAGGATGCTGGGATTTAAAGATCCGCCAACTGATCATTATTTACGGCCATTTTTCTTAGAAGGAGAATATTATTACGAAAAATCTAATTGCTTTGGTGCTATTCCTACTCATACACATATGATGAATTGGGGAAGAGACATGTTTTTAATGTATAAAGATAAACCAAAGTTTTCATTTTTATTCCATTCCAAGTACAGTCACGGACATACGTCACAACTACAAGTAGCAGACGATGACTTGTTGGAATTCTTGCAATGGTTAGAAAAAGGCAGGTACTTAGACGACACCATTTTGATTTTGATGTCAGATCATGGCGCGCGATTTACTTCTGTAAGAGACTCTGTCCAGGGAAAATTAGAAGAACGCATGCCATTTTTCTCGTTCCGTTTTCCAAAGAAATTCATTGAAAAGTACCCAAAAGCCTACGCCAATGTGAAGAAAAACTCCAAAATCCTTACCACCCCCTTTGATATTCACGAGACATTCATAGATATGATAAATCACACTGGCACTGGAGTTGCAGATATACGACGGAGAGGCGTTAGTCTCTTTAAAGAAATTCCTAAAAGTAGAACCTGTGCGCATGCCCAAATTGAAGCTCACTGGTGCACATGCTTGAATTGGGAAAAGGTTGACAAAGTAGATAAAAATGTGCAAAAAGCCATAAGTGCTGTTATTCAAAAATTAAACTCCATTATAGAATCACAAAGTCACGTCTGTCATAAACTTGAGTTGGGAATTGTTTCTCAAGTTGTTCGTTATAGCGGGGCAAAAGAAGCGCTCTTGCAATTTAAAGAGAGCGCCGATCGTGACGGTCGTCTGCCAGACTTTTCCGATAATATGGCTATGTCCGAGATATTGTACCAAATTAATTTATCTACCAAGCCAGGGAACGGACATTTTGAGGCGACTGTTCATCACACAGTTCAGAGCGACAATTTCACTGTATATGACAAGGAGATAAGCAGACTAAATAAGTATGGAAACCAGCCCCACTGCGTCGCTGGGAAACTGCCCCACTTACGACCTTATTGCTATTGTAAAGAACAGTTATCGAGATAAACAAGCACGTTGTGTAAAGTTTAGCACAATATTTTAAAGGTACTTTTACCCAACAAGCTGTTTAAGTGGTACCCCTATACGATTCCCACAAGGTTTTTATGTACAGACANTGTGAATTTGAACTCTCATGGTCCTGAAACTGTAATCTTATTGAAAGGGTAGATTGAGACCATCTTCTGGGACTTCCGGAAGACAGTCAGGTTATTAAGTTTATATTGCCTGGTATCTATTTTTTCTTCTGTTGGAAGACCATCAAAATGGAGGATGGATCAAAATAGATACTTTGGAATACTGTCAGAAAATATCTCTGGGTCCGCTCATGTTATTGACCATTTTACCTGTTGTGCATGATTAAAATTCAGTGTTGACTGACAGTGCTATTATAAGCATTATTTATTATTGCATCAAAATTGACAAAATGACCTATTTTGCATCTTTATTTTCTGTTTTTTGTCTGTACATTTGACAGCTTTGCTGCCTTGTTTTTTATACAACAGACGTAGGAATATGTCTACACTTTTGCCGAAAGTGATAAATCATTTTTTATCCTGAGTTTCGGACCTGATACAAAGATGCGTCTTTATTTATAAAGTGCATATCTTACTTGCGAAAAATATTATCGCAAGTATATTATTTGTTTGTTTGTTTGTGGTCACTTATTTGTTTCAAGATAGAGGCCACAGTTTTAAAGATTTTGGTTTTAAATTTTTTGTACGTTGGTTTTAGGCCTAGGATGAACTTTTCTGAATTTCATAAGGATAATGTATACAGTTTATATGTAAAACATTTTCAAATTTTCAATTGCTTTGTAAATTAATGTTAGATAGTGAACGGTTTGTGGCCTTGTTTACTCTGTAACTTAAGTCGCATTCAGAACAGATGACAAAGCCTAACAAAACCAAGTCGTTTGCATGACACAACTCCACAACTGAGTCAATTGCTTCTCTACAGTATCGTATACTCTCAGCATTCTCGCTTATAAGACCAACTTTAGTGGTGTCGTTCGCATATTTCATTAGAAATTAATGCACCTCCGTCTTTAAATTGCACGATTCAATAAAACGACACTTGGCAATTATTATTTTTACGCTTTTAGTTATTGAACAGTAAACATTTTTAATGTCTGCTTTTGTCAGTGTTTCCTCTCTTCTTTTGAGAAGTGTATTTCATATCTGCTTAGGTAATGCAGAAGTAAACACAGTCGTGTTATGATACAGTGTTAGGAGATGCTGTCACATCAACAACACGTTGGAGTGATTTGGCTGTTATATAGCAGCTTTTCTGTAGTGAAATTGTGTTTTCGAATTCAAACAGATCTCCCTCACGTGAACAGCTATTAACAACGTTTTAACACCTATTTAACCACAACTGTAAGTACTACAATTCATTGACAGTGGTTCTTTTTGAAAGGCTTATTTCTGATTTCAGAGTATTTTTGAGTAAAGAGGTGAAATGTATTGGTTTGATGGCACATCGTATTTAAGGGATCATTTCTCATAAAAAATCAAAACACTGCCAAGATATTGTAGATGACACCCTTGTCAACAACCATACCAATTTTCATGCTGATATCTGACTTAGAACGCATTCAGAACAAGTTGATCCGCGGACTAACAGATCTGCGGATCAAATATGGCCGACGCCAGCAATGCCGATTTATCCCCTGATGGTCTACCCGCCTCCACACACGCCTTCCTTACAGGGGTCTAGCCATGTAACCTCGGAGATTTAACCCATTTAATAGCGCGTGTGAAGGCTTGCTTTTAAGTGGGGTCAGCCATATTTAGTCCGCGGATCAGTCAGTGAAATTTAAATCGCTTTTAAGAGCTCCGTCAATGGTCAAATATTTGGCATATATATTTTGTACATATATATATCAGTTGAATAAATATTTTTATAATCTTTTGGAAAGGGCCCTTGACCCATTTATTTTATTTTAACTGTTTACTTGAAACAAGATAAGGCACAATCATCATTATGGCTATTCAGTAGTATTTATTCATACAATAAAGCTTTCATATATACAATAGATTATCCTTGATTGTCTTTGGCATTACTTCTTAATAATCAATGAAAACATTTTAAACACAAAAATGACAAGACGTATAAAGGAAAAATAAATCATAATCCACTGTAAAACGAACGATACAAAACACTTTGATTTTGTGACGAAAATCTATCAAACGATCTCTAAGATTATCCTATGTAAGAGGCTAAAAAAAGATCGAAAGATGCTCACTGAAATTAACTGGAAAAAATGCATTTAGAAAAAGAAACAGTTTTTCCAAATCATCCACATCCTTAGGTGCTGTGTTTGTATGTGTGTGTGTGTGTGTGGGGGGGGGGGTCTAAATAACTTGTTAAAACAAATTTCTTATTCCTCAAAAATGTTAACGTTTTTCTTTTTCCCGGTCCATTAGATGTCTGTTAGTTTTCTCTCAGTCAGTGTGTAGATAAGGTACAAGTCAATGCGTATGTAAGTACAAGTCAATGCGTCATAAGTACAAATCAATGCCTAGAAAAGTACAATGATCAGCTGGCATGTCTCGCAGGCACTGCAACACAGCCCTACCCAACTACCAGACTCGGCACCTAAGGATTCTGAATTAACCGGTATATCGGTCCACACTACCCGTTTTCAAGGTGTGTGTGTCAGATCGCATTTCGGAGTATCAGCCAGAACACCGACAGGATGAGCCCTGGCATGCTCGGCTGTCACCTTGATTGGATAGTAAACGATTGTCGTAAAATCGCTATATGATTTTAAAACCGGGTGCATAAATTTGAAAGCCACCTAGATGAACCTTAGACTGCCACATTAATGTAATACAATGCAAAAAAGCCCTATCAAAAGTGATAAAAACATTCAAACCGAATGTCGTAAAGTCCCCATATATCCCCATAGAGACAATAAAATAGAGTACTCTAAAGTAAGAGTACAGTTTAAGGTTGTTCAGCCGAGCGTGGATGAGCCCGCAGTCATGCTACAAAATTTGTTCTGGGATATGATACTCCGAAATGCGATCTGACACACACCTTGAAAACGGGTAGCGTGGTCCCATATACCGGTTAATTCAGGATCCTTAGGTGCCGAGTCTGGTAGTTGGGTAGGCCTGGCAACAGCTGCCGTCTACCGTTTGATAAGATCAATATATTGGGTCTAAATACAAATTTCAACTGGGTACGACATGCGCAAAATTGTGAAAAAAAACTTTTGCGTGTTTGTCTGAGGTGGTTAGGGATATTGACTGGTATGTAAAATTCCAAAATAAAAACAAGTCATTTCGGATTGCATATGGCACGACCGTTTTGAACGGGAAACAGGACGAGATTTTTAATTATTTATCTATTATCAGTTCAGTAGTCTAAAAATAATATAAATTATAAAAAAGCTGGAAAGACTAATGACTAAATTTGTTTCACTATTGTACATCTCCCACAACTATCCAGGAATCCTACCGTTAAATTGAGGTAAAATTATTACAGATTGTTCCTTTACCTTGATAACTGATCTTTACAGTAGCAATAGGCTCGTAAGTGTGGTAGTTTTCCAGCGATGCAGTGGGGCTGATTTCCATACTTATTAATTCTGCTTATCTCCTTGTCATATACAGTGAAATTGCCGCTCTGAACTGCGTGATGAACAGTCGCCTCGAAATGTCCGTTCCCTGGCTTGGTAGATAAATTAATTTGGTACAATATCTCGGACATCGCCATATTATCGGAAAAGTCTGGCAGACGACCGTCACGATCGGCGCTCTCTCTGAATTGCAAGATCGCTTCATTGGCTCCGCTATAACGAACAATACGAGACACGTTTCCCAACTCAAGTTTATGACAGACGTGACTTTGTGATTCTATAATGGAGTTTAATTTTCCGATCACAGCGCTAATGGCTTTTTTCACATTTTCATCTACTTTGTCAACCTTTTCCCAATTCAAGCACGTGCACCAATGAGCTTCAATTTGCGCATGCGCACAGGTTCTACTTTTAGGAATTTCTTTAAAGAGACTAACGCCTCTCCGTCGTATATCTGCAACTCCAGTGCCAGTGTGATTTATCATATCTATGAATGTCTCGTGAATATCAAAGGGGGTGGTAAGGATTTTGGAGTTTTTCTTCACATTGGCGTAGGCTTTTGGGTACCTTTCAATGAATTTCCTTGGAAAACGGAACGAGAAAAATGGCATGCGTTCTTCTAACTTTCCCTGGACAGAATCTCTTAAGAAAGAGTATCGCGCGCCATGATCTGACATCAAAATTAAAATGGTATCATCTAATATTCCGCCCTTTTCTAACCATTGCAAGAATTCCAACAAGTCATCGTCTGCTACTTGTAATTTTGACGTGTACCCATGACTGTACTTGGAATGGAATAAAAATGAAAACTTTGGTTTATCTTTATACATTAGAAACATATCTCTTCCCCAATTCATCATATTCTTATGGACTGGAATAGCTCCAAAGCAATCTGATTTTTCGTAATAATATTCTCCTTCTAGGAAAAATGGCCGTAAATTGTGATCTGTGGGCGATTCTTTAAATCCCAGCATCCTCAATTGAAATGTATTGAGACTGGACACATCTTCTCCAAACTGAGTGACGTAACCGAGTTTTTTTAATTCTTTCCAAATCCAAGGAAACCTGTTAGAAATAAATAAGATTACTCATTCTGTGACAAAAGTTAACACGTCATTCCTCTTTGATAAAAACACGTTGTGTTTCATCAAAAACGATTTTAAACCAAAAACAAGCCTATTTGGATTATTTCTTTGAAAGAATTCGGGATGGAAATGTACATAGTGTATATAGTACCCTTAGTGCATCCCATAGGTTCCCACAAAACGTTATATACGAAAATGACCCCAAATCCTAAGGAATCTTATAGGGCACATGTCCTATAGGGAAGTAGAATATAAAAAGATATATAGAAAAAAGAGAGGCATTTACCCATCTACTTGTTTTGCATTCGGCTTTCCTCGTCTGGCTTCGGGTAGTTCCCATTCTGTATGCCCAGTTAGAATTGGCAAAAGAGCTTGCGGCGTTCCGTCCCCAACTATGTTATATCCTTCCAGGACGATACCGCCCAATTCTTTGGTGAAATAATCGTAACTTTTTCTTAAATTCCTAATCCATGTCATTCTTGATACTGAGTCAAATCCGAACATGAGAACATTAAAACCCATTGAGGACTCCAACAGCATTGATGGTTTATATCTTGCATGAAGGTAAGGTTGAAAAGAGATGCCGGAGAGAATAGTTTCAAACTTTTTCCAAAAACGACCATAGCATCGCACAACGGCAAAGTCTGTCTTTAAAGGATCTCCATCTTTGAAGGGCACACGTGGACCTCGTTCCACCTCAAAGTCAGTTTTGCCACGCGTTATAGTTCTATAGGAACATTCAATGTCTGGTCCATATTTCTTCAAAGCTGACTTCGACATCCGAAATGTGCCATTTTCTATATATACCCAGTTTTCGTCTATTTCACATTGGATCGGAGGCTGTTTTTCAAAGAACGCCATCATTTCAGGGTTATATGGGTCCAATACTGGATATACACATGCCTTGCCATCGGTTTGATCTGAGCTCTGACCAGACCCTTTTAACCAGGCATAATTTGGCAGAGATTTGACATATCTTTTCACAAGAATAGGTTCACGCCGTAAATAATAGATACTTAAGAGAATACAAATTATCGCGGTCACTGTGAATAACTTTGAAACTTTACGTTTCAGGAATGGCCTGCATAGCCGAGCCACTGTGAATAAAGAGAGACGCCTCATGACTTTAACTGCCAGAATCCCTTCTGTGCTATGAATTAACTGAAAATAATAAAGATTTTATTAATTCAGTCGCATTTGTTGGTAATTGTATGATTCAATACGGAAAATGATCATGTTACCGACTCAATTTAAAATTGCTCAAAGCGTATTAAAATAGGTATATCTGAATGAGCACGTGTATTTCAAATCAGCAATTTCTCCGCAATACAAGCCCAACGACAAGACGGACTCATTCCCAAGATTTGAAAAGGCTAAATACGTTTCGTGTTGTATTATCTTCTTCCCTCTCTTACGTATAAAGCTATTTTATGTATTTCTGATGGTCAACGTATTCTACTGACACAAAACACGGTTTCAAAACTCGGATAAAACAATCAACATTCCTATCCTCTCCGACCGGAGACGTTGTAACAATTTTTGACCTATTAATTATTCTTTCTATTTACAGGATTTGCAACACAATGTCAGTATAAAAATAATAACAATATAATAATAATAATAATTATTATTATTAAACTTTGAACATTTTACTTTGAACTTAGTTCAGTATATAAACAGCAAAAGGCCTGTGACCTGGACGATGTGCATAACTGAACTGTGCGTATCGTACAATCTATATAGGTCACGATGTTAAACAGACAAGGTTCACAGGTTGATCAGTACGGACAAGGTAGGCCCTATAACCTTAAAAACGCGTCATCAGACAAACAACCAAAGCAAATAGGAAGATAAGCGAAGGAGGCACATTAAGGTCTGGCTGTGTGCTCTCCTCCTACCCCCTATCCCCCTCCCCTCCTAAAAAAAAGAATAACAATAATAATACCAAAAAATTAGATTAGAAATAATAACATAATAGACAAAAGGAAATTCTACATCTCATGAACAACAGCCCAGCTGACAAACGACATTTATTCACCGTTGAATCAACGTTAATTTTGGTAGATCAACGTTGAATCAACGTAGAATCAATGTCGTTTACCTGCTGGGCAGGTTTGTAAATTCATAATTCAATATTAAAAAATCAATCATTTTTGTAGCCAAATTCGATTTTTCGGGCCATCAGCTCAACGACTATTGTAACTGCAGTGCCGCCTACAAAGTACCAAACAGGATGGCCAGGCATCGTTTTATCTGTGGTATGCTCGGGATTTACTTGTTATGTAGAATTGCCCCGATATCCTAACCCTCTTAATGACTGCCGTAGAGCACCCCGTTTATTTTGACATATGATTTTTGACTTGGCGGTACATACGGAGATGTTCATTGAAATACCCTGTACACATAACCATTCACAGTGATATCCGTGAATATCCAATGGTAAAATTCTTTGTTCACCTCGTTGAGGTTATATGATGCATGTACATGGGTTGATTCACAAAAGCACACGCGTGTACATGTACGTACACTGAGCAAAACTATTAACGCCTCGCGCAATACTCTAAAATATTTCTCTGCATCATTGGCTACGAACATTTACATATATTAAATCATACAAAGTAAAGTTTGTTGTTCAGTTTGCTGCAGTTTACTGTCCGTAGCTACAGATAAGTGGTTACCCCACTGCGTTATATAAATAATTCACATGGGGGCGTTAATATTTTTGCTCAGTTTTTACACCATTGTGTATTAATTGTTGGTGACATAAGAGCATATACATATAACTGGTCGTATAAAACTCACGTTGTATTTCCCAAAACAAGATCCCAAGTTTCAGTGAAATTTTTTCGTTCTTCTCAGCCTCCAGACTCTTGCATGGTATTTAGGTCTACGTGACTACCGCGATCTACGTGAACTGGGTATCGCTAACACCAGGTCACATGCGTTCAAAGATAAAATTGCACAACAGTGCAAGAATTTGAGAACTAAAATACAAGAATATCGCATATATGGAACAAATGTTGTAACGTTTTTAAAGTTTTGTAGTCATGGTAATATTGCTACCCTTATGTTTGCATTCAGAGGCTGTAAATGGCGTTCAAGTTACATAATGATCCTAATCTCAACTAAATTTCTTTTGAGCCCCATTTGTTTACTTTGCAATACCCAGCTACTTCAACCATACTGATGTAGTTGGTCATTAATAGTATAATACATTTTATGTTACTTTCCGTATAATAACTCCTTGTAATTATACAGACTTATACATTATTTATCTTTCATTTATTTATTCATTTGTTTATTTATTTATTAAACGTTATTTATTGCGGTTTAAACACGTGGTAAATATAAATTGTTTCTTCCCCATGTTTCTCCTGAGGTAATAATAATAATAATAATAATAATAATAATAATAATAATATATTTATTTATTTCGAGTCTAAAATCCATAAAATGTTCAATAGACTGTACAAAGGTGAGTAAAAGTGCCCAAATAAAACATATATATATATATATATATATATATATATATATATATATATATATATATATATATATTAAACGATTGTGTGAGGACTGCAGGAAAATTGGAGAGAATAGAAATAACAATAGATTAAAACAATAGCAACAATAACAGTCCTAAACTTTCTAATGTTTTCAAATTTCAAATGTCATTATTAAGAATAGTCCATAAAAGTAAAGGGCTCCAAATGAACCTATAACAGGAATGGAAGTCCGCTAGGAACCGTAGTCCGTCTCTCATTACTTTGTACAGGTGACATTCGTCCCATATACTAACTCCAATACTTCAACTAACCCTAACCTGTACTAATCATATCGGAGCCCGGACTTCCATTTCTAGGACTTCCATTCCTGTGTAACGTGACAGAGAGTCCCCTATAACAAAGAGTCCGCTTCCCATTCATTTGTACAGGTGAGCCTCGTCCTAGATTTTGACCCACTTAGCTCAGACTAACCCTAACTCTATAACTCTTATAACTCTATGGAGGGCGGACTTTCTGTTACACGAACCCTCAGTTTCGTTACAACGGCACGGCAGTGTGATTTATTTCCATATGTATATTGTACGTAATATTATTCTAGTAACTCTGTATGATTAGTTTTCTTAATTGTCTTAGTTCATGTGATAAGCTGTGCGTGAAGCAAACCGGAGCTTTGCATTGGTCAATGCATTGAAAAGTGTTCACGGTAATTTCCTATATTTGTAAGTTGCGCAGTTTCATCACAGGTGCCCCGAGAAAACCGGTACAGGGCCTATTAGCTATGTTTTCATGACTAAATGGTTGTGAATGCTGGAATATCTCCAACAACACTAAGAAGAAACTGGAAGCTATGGAAATGATTATGTGGTACCTACGAAGAATGTTGAGAATATCTTGGGCAGAAGGAAAGACCAATGAAGACGTGTTCCATCTTGCAGGAGTTCAACACTCACTGATGATAAACAATTGGAAAAAGACAAATGAAATCTCTAGGCCATACCATATCAGAAAAGACGGAATAGAAAAACTTGAACTCTGTAGGAAAAATTGAAGGAAGAAGAAGTAGAGGAAGACAAAGACCAACATACATGTACATTGACAGCCTTAATGCCTTTGTAACAAATCAACTGTACAATAACCTCCAATTGACCGTAAAAAAGAGTGAACTGGTGGGCCACGATCCTTACTGCCCGCAACAGGCCTGACACTTGACGAAGAAAAATGTAAGTTTATTAGATTTTTTACAAACGTGTAATTTTGATATTGTATTTATAGCATCTCAATTACACTGCTCCTTCACATTACGTTACTCTGAACTTTGCTGCATTGTTAAACCACAGGCCCGTAGCCAGGGGGGTTCGGGGGGTTCGAAAGAACCTCCCCTTTTGCTGGGAAAAGATCCACTCTGGGTAAAATTTGATCTAGGTTCATGAAGTTTTTATGGGAAAAGGTCCACTTTTTCAGAAAAAGAACCCCCTTTTGAAATTGCTGGCTACGGGCCTGAACCATTCGGCGGCAGTGTAACTGTAACTGTATCATTATTGGCGAGTGTCAATAAACCCTGTATAACAACATCAGCTGGCTGTGCTTTACACTGTTCTTTCATAAATGGTAAGCCAATTTAAGAGAGCGTTCCCATAAACCCATCAAACTAGCTGGATGGATCTAACTCTGCGGGGCTTCTCGCTACAGTGCTTTCAGTGTAATCAGCTTAATTGTCTAGCACTCGATCCCCATCGAGTAACTGGGGGGGGGGGGGGGGGGGGGGGAATTGCCTATCGTTTATTACCCTCCTAGCAGCTTGAATTATGGAGAATATCAGATTACTCAAAGTGAGACAGAACCTATGGGGTGGTTAGTAATGGAGAGACAACAGCAATGCATTTTGTATAACATTCACCGGTTGAATTTCCGTAGGGCTCAAAAAAAAAAAAAAAAAAAAAAAAAAAAATAGCGTTTGTTTAGTGGAAACTCTCTGATCTGTATTTAAACCAGGTCAGTGCACGACATTTATTCATTATTTTTTGTAACTTCTGATATTCAGTGAACATACATTGTAGCAGCAAAAAATTCTATTTTTTCAATTCAACTTGTTAATTTTAATTATTTTGAATAATATTTTTAGGGTGGTGTTAAACCACATTGCGGGTGATTTCGCAGCAGAAACATTTTCCTGGGCCCAATATAAATTTCATTCAACACCAAATGCATTTATTCCAATTTGGAAAATAAAATAGTCTCGGAAATCTGATTTAATCAAAATAAGAACCGACCTCGCTCTTTAAGCAACTTAACAATTTTACCAGACCTAACTGGTTAATTAGAGACACAAATGTTACAGCCAGTGGAATTCTAATAAAAACGTACTATAAACAGCAAAACTGTTATTCAATTCAAAAGGATACAGCAACTTACATAATCTTAGAGTGCATTCTCAACGAATTAAGCCNTATTAGATGGATTGCGTGCAATATTGAGTAGATCTGGGACTGTTGGATTGCGTTAGAGATGGAAACAGTGCAACTATCACAATATGTTCCAATATCAGAAGGTCGCATTCAGAACAAATAATCCACAAACTAACTTGTCCGCGAACTAAATATGGCCGACCCCACTTTAAAGGAAGGCCCACAATCCCTTGATGGTCTAACCGCCTCCACACGCGCCATTAAGCGGGTTAAATCTTGGCTCCAAGATTTAATTGCTAGACCCGCGCGGACGGCGAGTGTGGAGGCGGGGAAAACCATCAGGGTATTATAAGCGGCTACTTTTTAACTTGGTCAGCCATATTTGATCTGCAGATCTGTAAGTTCAAGGATCGTCTGTTCCGATGGTAACCTTTGTAATACAAATTCTTAGGCATTCATTGCTAGGAATGGAAGTCGTAGGGAATACATTAACAGGGTTCGATGCCCGTAGGACGTAAATTCTAAAAGGTCTAGTAACGCACATATTTTACACGTAAACATGACTTATGAATACTTAGATTTACAGGCACACTAAGCTTTTTACTTGTATTTTAATGTTTTGTGATGTTATAGTTTTTCCGATATCTAGTATACATATAAATTAATTTTTATTCATACTTTTTGCATCACTCGTACTGATAATAATAATAATAATAATAATAATAAGAAGAAGAAGAAGAAGAAGAAGAATACATTCTAGGCTATTAAGATCTACATATTAAGATCTACATATTATACAGTTGTCCAATATATGAACTGGATCTTAATATTTAGAATTATTATTTATAATAATAGGCATTACAAAATGGAAGATGCGGCACCGTTTCTTTTCTTAAAAGCGAGATTAAGGTATTTTGCCAAAGATATTATCACTGTCTCGATTTGTCGTTGTTGTTTAAATATGTGAAGCAACAGTTTCCCCTTTGGACAACTTGGAAAGAGTTCATTTTTGTGTGCGGTGTATGGGGGGTGGGGGGGTTATTAAAATGCTCTTTATTCCTCTATAACTCTAGAGGAGCAATTTCGGATTTTTTTCAGCTGGTGTTGGTTTACCCTTGACATGACAACTTGTTTCAGTGTCCACATTATCACTGTTGATTCCAAGTGTGGTTCAGATTTGATTTTTTTTAAATTTTAAANATTCTTTGTTGGCATAAAAAACGTATTGTGTTGTCCGATCTACCGGTGAATTCAGGATCATTCGGTGCCGAGTCTGGTAGTTGGGTAGGCCTGCAAGCGCAGTTTCAGTTTTTTTGTTCATCTTGTGCTGTGTTCTCCACTCTGCATAAGGTGGCCTTTGTATAGTCGCATTTTGCAACCGGTTGCAAAATGCGGTCGGTTGCATAATGCGGCTATACAAAGGCCACCTTATGCAGAGTGGAGAACACAGCACAAGATGAACAAAAAAAAAAAAAAAAAACTGAAACTGCGCTTGCAGGCCTATTGTAATGCGCTGCAGTTGCAAAATGCGTTTTCACGATTTTCTTTGGTTGCAAAATGCGTTGCAGTTGCAGAATGCGTTCAGTTGCAAAATGCGGCTCTACTTAGTAGGACCGCATTATGCAACTGAACGTATTTTGCAACCGGTTGCAAAATGCGGCTCTACACCTTTCCAAGATTTCTTTATACGAAGCTTTCGGCTAGGTGACTCATTTGAGAGCTACGTATGCGAGATGGTAAGAACGATATAAAATTTGAAGAAACAATAAATAAATGAGGACCAGGAATACACGAGAGAGACTCAGAGAGTGAGAGAGAGAGAGAGAGAGAGAGAGAGAGATTTACCCATCAACTTGTTTAGCATTCGGCTTTCCTCGTCTAGCCTCGGGTAGTTCCGCTTCAGTAAACCCAGTTAGAATTGGCAAAAGAGCTTGCGGCGTTCCGTCACCAACTATGTTATACCCTTCCAGAACGATGCCG